CTGTGACATCCCCAAAAAGGCTCAAATTTCAGAAAATACTGAGCATCTGTCCTCTGAAAATGAGGACCCATCAAGGTGCTGTAGGTTGGCTCACAGCTCACTTTTAAAAATCTTGACCTAGGGGTTTGGACATAGTAGCTTCATGAACACCCATAGGACATCAGACCTTCCCCTTCCTTTTGCTTTACTGCCTAATCTTATATACTTCAGAGACTGCCTCATGCCTCTTCCCCCTTTAAACAAGGAGACTGAATCTGTGGAGGGATTTTATTTCCACTGCTAGTCCCCATTCCAGTTTTGCCCTCCGCTTGTAGTAGATCCTTATTTGAAATACACATGAATAACCAAGGACAACACAAGGAAGGCTACTCACTGACACAGAAAAAGAAAGGGGAAAAAGGATTCTCCCTCATCTGTGCCTCACTCTGCCCATCTCACCTTGCTACTTTCCCATTGCCTCCCTTGTGATGTTGTGTGAGAGAAACTCTCTCATGTAGGGCCTGGTGTAGTCAACTCTCTGTGCACCCAACTGCCAGAGGACTTATTCACTGAAGGGATTGATGCTACAAGCCTTACACCAGAAACTTCATGGGCAGGGACCCTGTTGTCTTGTATGTTGGTAAAATGCCATTCACTTCTGTGGTTCAAATGAAAAATCAATCTGAGTCTTGGTGCTCTCCAAGTCTCCATGCTGGACAGGGAAAACGCAGCCAAACGTGAGCAGTACGCAGGAGACATTGCACTATGCCCTACTAATGCCCTGCACATTTTCAGCCAGTACAGCTCACACCCCGTGGCAGAGTCTACGCTGCTGTCCCCTTCATGGCCTTTGGCCAAAGTAAAATATGTGGAGTTATTTCCTGTGGTAACTACATCTGGCACTACAGGAGCTCTGAGCTTGCACTTCTGGAGGACGAAGCTTAAGCAAACAGGGATTTTAAAAAAAATCCAAGAATTCAGCTGGCTTTGCAGTTTAACAAATGCTTGTTCACTCATGTTCCAAAGTATTTTCCTATTCTGCTAGACATGGGGCAAGTACAGACACAATAAAGAGAGAGCACCATTCTTATTATGGGGAGAAGAGGCCTGACAGCTACAGAATGGCATATTAATACAAATTACAACCAAAAGAACTAAAATCAAAATCTGCCATGCCCCCTCCCTGCAGGAAAACAAAGGCAGACATTTTGGTCTTGCTAAGAATAGTCTCAACCTCTAGGGGGCAGAATAGAAGTCCAGATCCAAGAATAAATAAGGGAATGGGGGGGGGGGGGGGGAGAGAAGAGAATGTAACTAGAATTGGCATGAGAGAGCAGGTCTACATTGATTTTTTTAAACACTTTTTCATTTATTAAAATGCTCTGGATCCAGATCCACTGCCATTGCTTGGTATTTATTACTAGTGCAGCTCTCCTTCTGTGGAACATGGGTTTGGTCCAAATCAGCTGCATTTAGGGTTGCCAGGTGTCGTTTTTTTCCAGGATAGTTCGGTATTTTGGCCTTCCAGCTGGTTAAAAAAAAACCCCACCAACAAAAAAAACACACAGAGAATACTGGACACATAAAATGTCCGGTATTTTCTGTCTTCCTTGGACGGAAGGCCAGCGGCATCTGCGAGGGCGTAATTTAAAGGCACAACAGCCTTTTTTTCCTCATCAAAAAGAGGGCCTGAGGCATCTGCGAGGGCAGGGGGAGCGAGGAGCACAGTAATTTAAAGGCTTAACAAATTTTTTTTGTTCAACCAATTTTTCCTTGCCTGTTCGGGATTTTTTGTGGCAACCCTAGCTGCATTTTGGAAATGGCGTTCTACTACCTCCATTTGTCCCATATAAATGGCACTGCTGTTTGCCTATATGTTATCTGAGTAGAGACAGTTATAATCAGTGAAGCATTGTGGTCAAGAGAACTAAAGAAGGGAGCCAAGCTAGGAGATCTTGAATGCTACTCCAGCTTCTGCCAGCCTCAGGCAACTCATTTTGCAGCCTCAGGCAAATCAATTAACCTCTCTGCCTCTCAGCTTCCCCACCTGTAAGATATTGCTTCCTATCTCTCTGGGATGTGGTGAGGATTAACTAATATTTGCCAAGAGTTCTGAAAATGGAACTGTGCCACATGAGTGTTGTTTAATATAGCTGGAGTGTTGCTAAAAGCATAGGTCTTGTTATAGAATTTAGATGGAGTTTGCTCAAGGCTTTCGCATATGTCCCAGCTATTGTCCTCAAGTTTCAGATGAACGATCCTTCCATAACTCCTAGCTGCCCATTGCCTCAGCAGACATTACAAGGAGCTAGGATGCAAATCCCAGAAGGGTGGGTAACGCTATGAGGAAAATGAATTCTGTAAGGAGTGAAGGTCGTGATTAGGAGTATTAGTATAAAATACCACAAAAATATTCAAGCTAGATATTAGGAAAATGTTCCTACTTGTAGGACTAGGAATTAGACTGTAATTAACTCCCAAGGGAAGTGATGGGAGATCCATCACTTGAGAAATTTAAAATGCAATTAAGAGCTTGGAGACTACTCTCTAGGGAGAACATGCTGCGGGAAATAATCCTGTGATACCCAAAGCTGGGGAGGGGTGTGTGAAGGTGGAGATGGTGAAGACCTATTAGGTATAGTCTATCCCAAATTTCTGGGGGGCAATGAGCACTAGGCAAATAACTCCTTTGTGCCAGGTTCTTAACATGTAAAGCCTGCTCTGGGAAGCTATTGCTACAACAGAAGTTTAAATGGAAGATATATTTTTTTGTGCAGTCCACTTTGAAGGCTGTCCATGTGTCATACTATAAATAGTTCTCTGTGTTCCAGGTGAGCAGGACAGTGCAGGGACTCAGTTACTGTTAATTAGAACTTCCTCCACACCAAAAATGAGAGGCAGTCCTCAGGGTGAGTTAAAAATAACCCTCCAAAGTGAATGGAGTGTGCTTTGAGTTCTAGACCATAACCTCTCCTGCTCTGACTGCCCCTTTGAAGGGTCCTTGCTTTAAGCCAAAGGGAGGATATACCCAGACAATGCAGACAGACACACAGGAGAGGAAAGAACATTCTTTCCCCAGGCATAATTACATCCGTTGTGCTGGGGCTATTTGCAGCTTCAACAGGCAGTTCTGGCACCTGCACCCTACCTATTAAACCAGCAACAGAGTGCAGTAAACAGCTCTTGGCGGAAGAGGTAGGAGTTAATTCCTTCTCCTGGGGTAATTATGCACAGCCACAAAAATACAAAGTTGAGTTAACAATAAAACATCCTATTCATGGCTAAGCTTGGGTCTCAGAAATAACCATATGGTAGTTTAAGACGGGGGAGCAGTGCCCAGAAGTGTATGCCTGGAGAGAAAGTCTAAGATAAGTTCTTTGCAAAGAATGGAGAACAGATAATTGTAACAAGAAAAAAAAAAAAGACTTCCCAGTTGCTGCATGAAGAGCCTCCAATGCATTTACTCCCACAAGCATATGATTCAGTAAAGGGGTGCTCATTGGGTTAATATGCCCTGATCCAGAGCTCAATGAAGTCTTTGGTTCAGGCTTGTGATGCTCACATTTAAAGCTAAGCCAAGAGAATGAATTCTAAAGGAGATAAGTATAGTTCCTCTCATCTGGGCCAAGCGGAAGCTGCCTCTTGTAAGACACAGCTTGCTGTCTTCACCTACCTCAAAAGTCCCAGCTATGTTCAGCTCAGGATGGAAACACAAGCCAGCTACCATCCTAGGGACTGCTAAATGGCTAGGCCCACTCCAGAGACAGATCACCGTATACAGCTGTGCAGCAGCTGCCTTGGGGTTTCAAAGTGGCAGTGCCACTTTGAAGTACCTCTCCCCCCCTTTACTGCCTCTATCTCAGAGGCAGCAAGGGGGGGGGGGGATATCAATTAGTCAAAAGACTATCCGATACGCCAATGCTTCTTGGCTAATCGACTAGTCTTTAACATCCCTAGCAGCCATACGAGTGGACACAAGGTAAACAATATGTCGGGCGACCTGCTAGGGATATAAATGACTACTCAACACAGTAGTTGACTAGTTGTTTTCCCCTACCTTGCTGTCTCTATCAGAAAAAGGCAACAAGAGGAGGGGGTGCTTCAAAGCGGCAGTGCTGCGTGGAGTCTGGGACCAGACCCAGAGCTCCATGTGGCACTGCTGCTTTGCAACACCACATGCAGCCTGGGGCCAGCTGGGGAATGCCCAGGCTCCTTTTGGCATTTCAAAGTGGCAGCACCGCATGGGGCCTGGGATCAGCTGGGGACTCCCATGCCACTTTGAAATACCAGGGGGAACGTGGCCCCACGCTCCCCACAGCGCTTTTACCTTTGAAGTATAGCAACAGCCCTGGGGACATTTCTACACTTCAAAGGTGAAGGCACCCTTACCGACTAATCAAATAGTTAATGCAAATTGCAACGACTATCCAATTAGTCAATTAATCGAAACTTACATCCCTATGGCCTGCCAGTAGTTTACCCTGATGAGCTGTGTGCAGCCTGCAGATTGCCCACCACTGCTTTAAAGTAATAACTCCTTAATACAGAGACCAGGGAAGGGCTTATCCCCTGCCAGAAGATGTGAAGTATCAGCTATGGTCTCTGATCAGAATCTTGCCATAAGGTACCCCCGGGGCCTTACAGTTACATTGTCACCAGCATCTTTTCACTGCTTGTTACAGTACTTTACCTAGGAGCCCTCCGGCCTTCAAAACAAGGGTGGGATTATGTCCACATGGATGCAGAGTTCTCCTGCTGCATCAGAGTTTGGCTGTGATCCAGCAGGTGCCACAACAAACAGCTTTCCCTCAAGTGGTGCACAGCAAGTAGCAGTCAAGAAGTTAATGATGACTATAAGACCACTGCCTCTGTAATCCTTGGACATTGCCTATAAGCCTGCCCTGCTGGTGGGTTTGCAGGAGTGGAAAGGTGGAGAAAATCTGCTAATGCTATTGCCACAACTGAAAAGCTGCTGGCTACTCCAGCAGACATGGACTCTGACCGCTTCCAATTGTCAGGAAATACATACTGTAAGGTCCTCTTGCCCAGTATCTCTCCCCCCATTATATGCCAAGCTGCTCTCACTCAATCTTACAAAAGATTTTGTGAGACTGGGCTTATTAGATTTACTTCAGCTTTAGCAAAAGAAACTAAGCCAAAAGAGAAACCCAGAGTTTCAGCCTCCACTTGCCCCCATCCCACCAGTGTGCACCTTCTCAGCTGCCACACCTGCCACTCACAGGAGCACTTTAGCTTACACCACTGCCTTAAGATTCCTCATCTGAGCTCTGCGCAGTTTGCTCATGTTGCATTGTTTGGGCACAGGAGAATCAGCGAAGGCCTGACACTAAAGAGCTGTGGAAGGCTTCTACAGTCGGCACCTGAGAATTTCTATAAGCCGTGAGGTAGGATCCAGTTTAGAGAAGCACCTTGTGGCAATGAGAGCCAGAGAAAGGAGGAACTACCACCTACAGAGCTCTGCTATGTAGCTAAAATCCTACTAGGCAAAACACCAAACATCACCCAGAGCAGGACTTGCCCCAAGAACACAGAAAACTCTATCTTCCTGGTGGGGCCATTGTTCCCGCTGCTCTCACCGGGTAGGACATTTGACTGGACAGTTCTTAATAGTCTTCCAGAAGCTCTGATGCTGGGAACTTTCCCAAAAGGCACAGGCTACCGAAGTATGAAGAGGCAGAAAAGGAGGATAAAGGAATGTTAGATGCGAAACACCCAAGCCCAGAATCACGGGTAGGATTGCGCTTGGGCAACCAGCCCAAGCTGCTGCCCATGCCACTGCAATCACTTATTTTTAGGAAGCTAGCTAATGTGTTTGTCTACCCAAGCTGAGAAAGCACTCACAGCTCTTGTGCAGATGTACCCTTCCAGTGTCTCCCCTGCACCTTTCCTCTCCCCCTGAAAATTAATCCAACCTATCCTGGATGCATTTTATGCTGCTCATGACCTGGAGATGTCCAAAAATTCCCCTCCAGCCTGTGTTGATGGAGGAATCTTGGTTCAGTTAAATGGCACCTCATCCACAAATTGAAGACTTCCTCTTCCAAAGTGTCTTGGAACCCTAGACACTGCCTCATACATTCTCTAAAAAGAATCCAGATCTTTCACAGGAGTATGTTTCCTTCTCCGCTCCCTCAAGAGCGCATGGAGCGGAGGCTGAGCTCTGTCGCCCCACCAGAGTGATCCCACAGGAGTCGTGGTTCTACAGGGCCTTGGTGGGTGGAGCAGAAAGTTCCAATCCATGGTGAAGTGCTGTTGACACACCTTCTATATCACATGCCCAAGCCAATTCTCCAGTAGAGATTGGCTAGCACATAGGCACCGACTCCCCAATGTGCCAGAGGATGCTCAACCCCAGTACTGCCATAAGCCCCACCCCCTCTTCACCCCTTCCTCAAATCTCACCTCTTCCCACGTCCTGCTCTGTCCTACCCCTTCCCATGTCCCGCTCCCTCCCACCTCTTCCCATCTCTCGCTCCCTCCCACCTCTTCCCATCTCTCGCTCCCTCCCACCCCTTTGCACCCAGTTCTTCCCCCTCCCCTGAATGCAGCTTGTCCCCTCTTCTTCCCCCCAGCAGAAGTTGCTGGGGGATGGGGGAGATGATGCTCAGCATCACCATTTTTTGCCCTGTGGGTGCTCCAGCTCGGAGCACTGACAAATTCAAAGCCTCTGGGCCAGTCCTGTGGCCCTGAATTTCCAGCTCCAAACAAAACTTCTGCCCTCTGCCTGAAGCACTTTAGGGTAATCCCTCCAATCCGCACATATTGTACTGAGCTGCTCAGATCTAGTAGTCAGGGCTCAATGCTCAGCAGGAGACTCTTGTATGGGTCTTGCACATCCTGAGTGGACAGTCACAAAACCCAATGGGCATTCTTTTCCCAGCCCCTCGCTAATCCCTTAAATCAACCAGCAACAAAACAGAGCTGCAGGGTGTGATAGCTTCTTGCAAGGGCCCCCGATTTCCCGACACAAAAACAGCTGGTGTCACCCAGTGGAAAGGCAAAGCAAGAGCAAGGCCCAAGCAGGGAGTGGCTGTTACTACCTCTCTGAAGGAAAGGAGCCGTTCTCTGGATAAACCCTGATGAAGGAACAAAATGATGGAGAAAGATGGCATGAGGGAAGGGGGAAATAAACATGGAGGTGAAGGTAATGGTGGGAATGGTTACATAACAACAAACAATCCTGTAGTCCTGAATAGGTGGAGAGCAATATGCTCCAGAGATTCCCCTTTTGCCTCCCCTCTCTCCCCAACTTCCTCAGTGCATCCCCGTGCTGAGGTCTGCAAGGGGGAATGGAAAAGGATTCTTCCACTGTCCCTATGACACCAGAGGATTCCCTCTGCTCCCATTATGCAGTTCAACTTATTTAACTTCAGAGCCACCATACAATACAGTAGACAGGAGCTTAGGTTTGGAGCGCTCAACAGGCTGCAGTGAAACACAAGGATGGGCTGCTGGGAACTAAGCCCCCTGTTCACACTCATCCCAGTCCTAATCTTGCCTACCAGCATCTGGGGTGAAGCAGTAACTTAGTTAGGGAGTGAGGGGAGAGATCCAAGCAGAAAGGCTCACTGCACGTCTGTGACTCCAGATGGAGCTCTGAAGAGGATATCAACCTCTCCCCCACCACTTAGTGGGGCTGCAGCTGATCAATGGATCTGTACAAGCTGGTGTCATGGGTTCTCCCCCCCACACCCTCCAAAACTTGTGCTGTGTGGGCAGGTTACAACGACAGCAAGACAAAAAAAAAAACAAAAAAAACAACAAAAAAAAAAAAAAAAAAGCAGGAGATGCTGAAATTAAAGAGGAAAAAACCTTCCCTTACCTGACTTCTTCTTTCCAATGGGTTCCCTGAAAAGGAGAGAAAAGGGTAAGATGAGCGAAGAAAGGGGATACCCGAGCCACATTATATATCATTGTGGTTAGAGCAGTGGGCTCAACACAGGGCTCTGGGTTCCATTCCTGGCTTTGCTACTGACTTACCACTTGACCTTATGCAAATCCCTTTGCTGATGGAGGACATACTATGGTCAGTCTTTCCCACTGATGTATATTCCTCTCCAGGGGTCTTTTTACACAGTAAAGTTCAGTTCTTCAAAGGTTCCCCACCTGTCCTCCCTAGCTGCCTGGCCTGGGAGCCACAGCTCTGACAGTGGTTTGTACTAGTACTGCTCTGACCAAGATATGTCCAGTAAGAAGGGCCCAGCTTGTATGTCAGCAGTGACCCAATATGGTCTTTCCCACTGATGTATATTCCTCTCCAGGGGTCTTTTTACACAGTAAAGTTCAGTTCTTCAAAGGTTCCCCACCTGTCCTCCCTAGCTGCCTGGCCTGGGAGCCACAGCTCTGACAGTGGTTTGTACTAGTACTGCTCTGACCAAGATATGTCCAGTAAGAAGGGCCCAGCTTGTATGTCAGCAGTGACCCAATATGATTTTAAACACATATCTACTGTGAAAACAGATGGAAGCTCACAGATTCTAAGGTTAGAAGGAATCATAGACTGACCTCCTTTGTATCACTGGACACAGAACTTCCCCCAAGTAACTCCAAGAGCAGGTCATTTAAAAAAAACGTCCAATTTCAATGTAATAATTGCCCGTGATGGAGAATCTACCACAATCCTCAGTAAGTTGTTCCAATAGTTAATTATTCTAACTGCTAAAACTGTACATCTCACTTCTAGTCTTAATTTGACTTCCAGCCATTAGATCATTATTAAATTATTTGCTCACCACGTAGGTACCTCTAGAATAATCCAATCACTTGTAACCATCTCCTTCTTAAGTGTATCACTGTAAGTACGGCTACGTTTTAGTCACAGGTATTTTTAGTAGAATCCACAGACAAGTCATGGCCAGGAAACAAATATTCATAGCCTGTGGCTTGTCCATGACTTATACTATATCCCCCTCAATAAACCGTGGAAGTTCTGGGGAAAGAGGTGGCCTGGGGGTGCCGCTAGAGTTGCCAACACTTGAGGATTGGCCTGGAGTCTCCCAGAACCAGCATCAATCTTCCAGTGACCATTGAAAGCAATTCTGGAGATTTTAATTGGATACTTTAAGAAAATGACATGACATCATGCTGGGGGGAAAAAATCTCCTGGAATAGCTTCAGTGAGAGTTGGTAAGCCTAGGTGCTGCAGGTGCTCTGGGGCAGAGGGTGACTCAGGGGCACTCTGTGAGTATAGGGGTGGAGGTGGGGGGGCAGCCCAGGGATGCCACAGGTGCTTTGGGAGAGTACAATGCATGGCCCAGAACCCTCATTGCTGCTGGGGTGGGAAAGGACACGGTGGCCCGAGACTTCCAGTGTGCCTGGCCCAGAAGCTGCTCAAGCAGCCCACAGGCCAGATACGCTGGCTGCTGCAAAAGTCACAGAGATCCTGGAAAGTCATGGAATCTGTGATTGCCGTGACAGACTCAGCTTTAACTGTAAGGCAGGTTCTCTAATCCTTTAATCATCCACCTGGCTGCTATTCGGACTTCTCAAAGTTATAAACATCCTACTTGCACTGAAGATTCCAGATGTACACAAAGTTCTCTAGCAGTGGTCACGCCAGAGCCAAATGGAGAGGTAAAATAACCTCTCTGCTCCTCCTCGAGATTAGCTCACATTCCCCTGATTATCCATCATGATCCCTCCCTCCCAAATCTTTTCCAGGATCTCAGCTTCCTAAAACAGAGCCCCCGCATACCCGGCAATTATGGCCTACATTCCTTTATTCTAAATGTATTTCGTATGCCACATTAAAGTACCTATTACTTGCTAGTGCTCAGTTTACCACACGATCCCACACCACTCTGAATCAGGGAGATCCTCTTCATTTACCACTGTCACACTGCGTATATCATCATCAAACTTCATCAATTTAATCAGTGATTTTGTTTCCTTCCAGGTCACTGATCAAAATGTTAAATAGTGTAGGGCCAAGAACTGACCCAGGCAGGATCCCACTAGAAACACAGTTGCTCAATGATTGTTCTGCATTTACAATTACATTCTGAGACCTTTATAATCCATTTAATAGGTGTCATATAAATTTTCTGTCATTCTAGTTTTTTAAATCAAAAAGTTATGCAGTACTAAATGAAACACTTTATAGAACTCTAAATATTTTCCATTAACACAATTACTTTTATGAAACAAATCGGCAATCTCATTAAAGAAATCAAGTTAGTTTGATGGAATCCATTTTCCATAAACCCATATTGACTGGCATTAATTACACTGTCCTCCTTTAATTCTTTATTAATCAGGTCCTGTATCAGCTGCTCCATTATCTTGTCTGAGATCGATGTCAGATTGACAGCCCTATAATTACACAGGTCACCTCCATTAAATATTGGCATAACAGTAGCTTTCTTCCAGTCTTTTAGTTCTTCAGTGTTCTATGACTTACTGAAAATCAACATTAATATTCCAGAGAGTTTCTCTGCTAGCTCTGACCTCTTGGATGCATGTTATCTGGACCTGCTGGTTTTAAAATGTCTAGCTCTAATAGCTGCTGTTTAACATCTTCCTGAAATACCAGTGGAACGGAAAAAGTGTTATTGTGATATGATGAAACTACATAATGTTTTCCCCTTCCAATATGGTACAGAAATATTTCCTGTACACTCCTGGAGAGGGAGCTGGGGAGTATGTTGGGGGAAATCAGATTGTTGAATGCCAAACCTGAACACCTTGCTAGATACTATCATGAGAAGTAGGGATGTTTAAAAACCATTTATTTTTGTAAATGTGCAACTACTGAATTTTTCAGCAGTTACATATTTTCATGCAGGGGGGAGGTAGGAGCTGGTGCTCACAGGGAGTTGACTGAACAGGAATTAAATATCATCTTCCTGTGAGCACCAGCTCCCGCCTTTCCCCTCCCCCCCCAGCTGCCTCTGATAGACAGGCAGCAGCACAGGGGATAGGCGGGTCCACAGGAGCCAGTATGTGCATGGAACCTCCCACCTGCGCCTCCCCACTGCCCCGCATTGCTGAAAGCACCTCCCACCTGCATCTCCCCACCACCCTGTGCTTCTGTCTCTGTGGGAAGCAGCAGGGGAGGAGGGCAGGTGGCTCCACAGGAGCCAGAATGTGCTGAGAGATGGCTTAAAAACCAGCTCCTGCCTGCCCCCCCAACCGCCACTGCTGCCTCTGTGGAAGGAAGTGGGGGTGGGGGGGAGAAGTGGCTCCAGGGGAGCTAGCTTAAAGGCCAGCTTCCCACAGGCACTGACTCCCACCTCTTCCCCAATCCCCTTGCTGTCTCTAATAAAGGGAAGGGAGTGTGTAACCGTTATGATTAACGGATGAGCTCAGGCAACCCTAATGAGAAGGAGGCAGTGTACACCAGGGTTTGGGAGCAGATGGCAGGAGTGCATTTCACAAGGGGTGAAAGAAGAGATAGGGGGTTGGAAACAAGGCAACAGGAGGGCTTGTCCTAGATTTGGGGATGGTACTGGAAGCATGGGGGAGGGGAGAAAGAGCCACGCAGCTTCTGGCCTTCCAGTATCACTGCCATCATTTGAACTTCACCAAGAACTTGGTGTCCAGCTAACTCAGCTGTAGGGCCCATATACAACACCCCCAGGAATATAAGAAAGTTTAGGGCATTTCAGCATTTAAAAAACACTCAGGATGCCAAAGCAGGCCCAAAAAACAGTATGTTCCCATTAACCTGAGACACCTGGCCAGATGTAACTGTAAGCAAATGTGCTAGCATCTTCATCAACTGCTAATTGTCAGCCCGTATTTCCAAAGGGGCAATCTTGTGCCTGACATCTGTGGTAAATAAAGGTGTGTGAGGGTAGAGACTGTTTCACATCACTTTACACAGTGGAACTGGGGCCTCTAGACACTACTATTAATTCTTATTTCAGTAATCCACCTTCCATTCTGGCCACCCCTCTTCCCAATCCACAAGTGACTCCTGACCCCTCTGGATGAAGGAACAGGAACACTGCATGTGACAATCATGCCCAGCCTAAAGCAGGAGAGAGACACATTCATGCACGTGCACACACTTGCTTCCAAGGATGGCAACATATGCAGAGCCAGTCTTGCAATATAGGGGACCTTCCCCAGCATCGCAATTTCCTGACCACTGCTGGAAAGTGAGATTCAGCAGGCCCCAGAGTTACTGAAACTGCATGAGGCTGCGGCCCCAGAAGCATGGGGCAGGCAAACAGCCACTTCTTTTGCTTGTGAAGTCCTCTAGCAAAACAAGCTCCCCTCCTACTTAGTTCACAGCCAACTGATGAGGCAGCTCCAGGATCAGTAAGAAAAAGAGCCCGGGCAGGGCTCTCCTGCGTTTTCTATCAAGCTTATCAGCATTTTAAGAACTTCATTACTGTAAACGTAACATTTTATTCCCTGGAGTGCTGGGGTGATTCAGGGATTCAGTCAGCTGCCTTCAGAGACCAGCCTTTCATCCTGTTAACATGTGTTTCCAATCTGCTGAGCGAACGCAGAGCCTACGTCACAGCTCCAGCGGTACCCGCAAAGGAACTCTCCCTGACCCTGCCCTCTACTCAGGTAAGAACTTCATTACTGTAAACGTAACATTTTATTCCCTGGAGTGCTGGGGTGATTCAGGGATTCAGTCAGCTGCCTTCAGAGACCAGCCTTTCATCCTGTTAACATGTGTTTCCAATCTGCTGAGCGAACGCAGAGCCTACGTCACAGCTCCAGCGGTACCCGCAAAGGAACTCTCCCTGACCCTGCCCTCTACTCAGGAGAGCCTGTGAGGCGGGGGCGGGGGGGGGGGGGGGGCCTGCGGAAACTGCCCTCAGCCAAACCACTAAGCACCAACATGGAATTTCTCCTTTTTAACCCCTCCTAGACCACACTCCAATACACTG